TGTTTTTAGATAACAAATGAAAAAATAGTGCTGTTTATTTTTTTTTTCCTTGCAAATAAATTGTTCTTTCAGTTCACTCTCTTCCTCTCATGGCACCATCAGATTTCCATCTAAATCTCTTTTTGATAAAACTATGTTCCCACATGCAGAGAAGAATTTGATGTCTTCTCTCGTGAGGTTATCAGATTCGGGAACTTGTGTAAAGACCCTCAATGGCACAATCTACATAGATATTTTGTCAAGTAAGTGGTGTTTAATATGTAATAATTAGCCCACTCGAGTCTTCTTGGAGAATTGCATTTGACTGTACCTCTTTTCTTTTTTAGGCTTGACTCAGAGCCTGATGTTAATAAACAACTAAGGACTGAGGCAGAAATGACAATGCAAGAGCTAACAAGTCTAGCCCAGTATACCTCTGTAAGCTAGCTTAATCGTTCTCTCATGGTTCTAATTGCCATTCCCTTTTTTTTTTTTTCCCCTCATCTTTCATTTTCTATGCAATTTGTATTGCTTATGCAATGAATATCGTAAACAATGAAGCTTTTCTTTCGTATGAAACAATATTTTATGAATAGAAATAAAGATCTTCACGGTTTACAATAACTCGATCAAATTAATTCAGCCTTTTGCAATTAATAAGATGAAAATGATGTCTGCAAACTGCAGGAACTGTACCATGAGTTCCATGCTTTGGACAGATTTGAGCAAGACTATCAACGGAAGCTAGACGAAGTGGATTCATTGCACCTTCCTCGCAAAGGTTTGTGATCTTGCACTCATTTAAAGAAATTTATTCCTTGACAGCCTAAAATTGAATGTTATTCCTGTATTCTTCCTCGATATCACTTGAATTTCTTTCTTCATTTAGGTGTTTCGAACATTTTCTTTTAAATCTACAGAAATAGAAAAAGAATGAACAATAAGAAAACCTGTTTTTGGTTTAAGACAAGAAGAATAATAATGAAAAAAATAAAGAATATCATTCGAAATAATAGATTCTGGCCGTGACATTTATTTTTCTTCTACATAATGGAGAAGAAGGTACTGTGACCACTTGTTAGGTAATACAACTCATAGGGGTGTTCATAACAGTTCAAGAGGTGAGTGTAGTTCTCAAAGATCTCAGGGTTAATTTTGTAAATTACCTCAGGAAGAGGTTTATGTTGAACAATGCAAACTGATTGTACTGTTTGTAACACTTGGAAATGCAATTTAGTTTTTGATAAATTACCGAATTTTAGAAAACTAAAGCTAAATCGCATGGTTAATGTGCAAATTTTTCCCGATTAATTTTGATTCTTAGTCTTTTCTGTTGGTTTTTGTGCTTCCTTAAACCTCTTCATTCGAATGAGTTAACTAATACTTCTCTGAAATGTATTTTCCAAATTTCAGGAGAGACTCTTGCAATGCTACAATGTGAACTAAAACATCAACGCAAACTCGTGAGGAGCTTGAAAAAGAAATCTCTTTGGTCTAAAAGTCTCGAACAGGTACATTCTTTAACTCAAGTTTCAATTGTCGTAAGTTAATAATCAAATAATTGAAAACTTCATTTGAATTATTTTTCATCATGTGATAGGTTGTGGAGAAGCTTGTCGACATTGTTACATTCATTCATCAGGAAATTCCTGAAGTATTTGGAGACAATGGTATTATGATTGCATAATTATTTGAGATACAAATAAAAGAATGAAATTTCCCTTTTTTATATCTTGAATTTTGACTATGTTACAGGATTGTCTCAATCTGCAAAGGTTTCTACTAACAGAGCAGAAAGATTAGGTGATGCTGGTCTCGCCTTACATTACGCTAACATAATTAATCAAATAGATAACATCGTGAGTTATTTAACAAAACCTTCTTTGTACTATGTTAGTCTCGATTTTCACTTTTACCGGTAAAAAAATTCACCTATAATTGCATTCGTTTTATAACTATAGGCTTCACGCCCGACTTCACTTCCTCCAAACATGAGAGATACATTGTACAATGGTTTGCCGCCAGCTGTCAAGACTTCTTTACGCTCCCGATTACAGACTGACACCAAGGAAGAGGTGTGTGTGTGCGTGAATATATTTTTTCTGGAAAATAATCTGAGCGTATTTTTTTACGATTTCTACTTTTTATTATCAACTCCCGATGCACGTGATTTCAATTTTTCTTACATGGAGTTAAAGATTTTGTCTACTCTTTTGCTTTTAAGCATATATTTTGTGGAATACATTTGTTCTTCAGACATGTCTCTAAAAACTGTCAGAAATATAATAGTCTTCATCATTTTTCCATTTTCTATCCTTTTGCAGCTCACGGTACCTCAAATCAAAGCCGAAATGGAAAAAACTCTCCAGTGGCTCGTCCCAATAGCTACAGACACCACCAAGTACGATTCTTTTAGTCGTTTGGTCTTTACAATATTCTCTCTTTCTTACTTTCATGGCTTCATCTTACCATGCAAATTCTGTCTCAACCTCATAACGATTCGCTCGAACAAAAACAAAAAATAGAATCTACCAATCAATGAGTACCTTTTCTTACTATGTTTGTAATAAATGATTTGCAGTCATGAATTATGTGTTTGTATACAAATATATCCACTGAAAGTGAGTTTTTTTTTGTTAACTAAAGTTAATTTTGAAAAAAGTTATATGGTTAGTTGCTAGTGGAATTTTGAGTTTATATTAAAATAATACTAGTGATTATCCCGTGCGATGCACGGGTAAAAAATATTAAATAATAATTATAAATAGGTATCGAGTTCGAATCACCCAATGAAAAAAGTGGGGAACCACTACTGATCCTCTCTAAAAATATTATAAATTAAAGATGAGGGTAAATATTATTAAATAATAGTTGTAAATTAACGATGTGGGGTTAACATCGTCATATAATTTACGGTATATCAGTTTATTATAAACGATATAAAATTAGCTTATTCAAGAGAACATAAAATTTGTATATTTAAACAATTAAAACTCCAAAAATATTATATTAACATATGTAAAATTATCTAAAATTTTCTATATTATTATTAAAAGATGTGAAGTCACCTACAACTTTTTTAAACTATTTTGTAAAGAAAATATATGTAAAAACATTAAAGTTTACATTTGTATGAAAGGCGTTTTCTGAATGTGACAAGATAAAATATTATAAGCCTAAATAAAAATACATTATAAAGTTTTTGAAAGAAAATTTACCTAGTATATATAAAATAAATATTGACATGATGCTGAAAATTATGACGATACTACTGTACCTGAAAATTTGAATATAGAAGATTTCAAAATTATTATTATTAGTAATTTGAGTACAAAAAATTTCAAAATTATTATTATTATTTTTTTAAGTAATTTGAGTAAAGGAGTGTCAAAATTATTATTATTATTATTATTATTATTATTATTATTATTATTTTAAGTAATTTGAGTACAGAAGATTTCAAAATTATTATTATTTTTTAGTTACTGTAAAAAGAAATTTCGAGGCACAAAATTCCACGCTTTATGTAGATTTATCAATTTCACAAATAAAATGGGATTTATTTTATATTGAATGGAGACTAAGACAATTTTGAAAAAAAAAAAGAAAAATCTGTCTATTTTCAAAATTATCCTCTTGACTTTTGAAACAATGCATTTGTAATTTGACTTAATTATTGTAAAAATTGGAAAGTTATGAAAAAAAATTAAAGAGATGTTTCAATTGATTTGAAATTCTTAAACCATTTTGAATTTCGTGCAGATTGAAACCAAAAAAATGAAAATTCATTATGATTTTGTAATTTCCAAGAGGTTTGTTAATTTTAAAGTGGCACAAAATCCTTCATTTAAGAATATGGATAGAAGCACGTGATTAGATATTTTTGAAATTCAATTTGAATAAAATTCTTTATATTAGGAAGAGATTTTGAATTAAATACAATTTTATAGCAACTAAAATGAGAAGAGATTTTGAATTTCAAATTCTTAAACCATTTTGAATTTCGTGCAGATTGAAACCAAAAAAATGAAAATTCATTATGATTTTGTAATTTCCAAGAGGTTTGTTAATTTTAAAGTGGCACAAAATCCTTCATTTAAGAATATGGATATAAGCACGTGATTAGATATTTTTGAAATTCAATTTGAATAAAATTCTTTATATTAGGAAGAGATTTTGAATTAAATACAATTTTATAGCAACTAAAATGAGAAGAGATTTTGAATTTCAAATTTTCAATTCAAGTTCTAAGGAAAATTTTCGACAATCTGATTGTTTGAAATAAAAAACACAATCGAATTTTTTAAATCAAATTTATAGGTAAGTTGTAAATTTTTCCCGTCTATTTAAAAATACATGCGAATAATAAGTATAATTATAAATCTTATATTGTTTCATCTTAGATGATTTTGTTTTTATATAAAATATTCAAATCAAAAAATTGAAGTGGTGGAGTAAAATATTAAATTATGAATAATTGACTATTTCATTTACGTCGTCAAAGTTAATGTTGACTCGTAAGTTATGAATAATTACTTATTTGACTTATGAATTTGGAACTCTAATTTGGACTACACACTAAATTCCCTTATATATTTGATATATGAATATATATATATATATAATCTCGTAATTTTTTAGAGTAGTTATCGGTTACCTTATCGTTCAAATTTATCAACTAATTTTCTAGAATTAAATTACAAATTTATAATTTTATTAACCAATATTTCTTCAAATCTTATGGTAGTTTATCAATAAAAATAAAAATAAATTAGGTAGAAATAAAATAATTGATTGAAAAATTTTGAAAATTTTAATCAATAGATTTAGATCAATTATTGATTTTACATTAACTTAAATAAAAATTACGTATGCATATAAATTATTCGCAGTAAATCTTTACTAATAATTACCAAATTATTGCTATTGATTTTTTGGAAATCAAATAGCTCATCTCGTTTTTTTTTTTTTTTTTTTTTTTTT